GGACCCCCCGGCTTTGTGTCTGTCGGTCTCGGCGTGTTTTGTCCCGGCTCAGGCTCCTCTAAAAAACGGCAGGGAGGAACAGGAGGCGGACACCGTCCCCTCGCTCCACCTCCTTGACAGGGGTTTTCCTCCTTCTCCTCCCCTTTCTCCCTCCGGCGCTCCGCAGCCCGCTCTCCTCCCTCGTCCCTCCCTCTCTCGGCCCGGGTCTCCGGGTTTCGCTCGGGTGTCACGTTACGGCTTCTGCTGGGGGCGGGGGGGGGGGGGAGAGGCGATTATTCGCAACGAGGAAGAAAGTTTCTGGGTGTTTTTTATTTCCTTCCCCCTTTCTCTACACTCTGGCCGCGGTTCCTGCGCCACCAGCGACCTCTTGGGGGCCCTGCTGACTTCCCTCTCGTAAACAGTCACTGGCAGGAAGAAGCAAGACTGATTTTTACTATATATGCTTCTCTTTTTCTTTTTTTTCTTTTTCTCGGTTCAGAAACTTGATTCTCTTTCTACATCCCGGGGTTGCTGCTTGCGAAAGACCGATAAAAGGTACTCGGATATAGGCTCAAGACTTTGTTGAGATGGTAAAAGAGCAAGAGGTGTGAGTTATCATCACACATGCCCCCAGGGCCAGGCTCCTCGCTCGGACCCCCAGGAGGAAAAGCTCTCCTCTTGATTTTCCTGGTCCTACAGCCATTTCACCACGTAGTGACTGGAGAGGCAAGTGGAAATACATAGTAGATTCCAGGAGATCACTCCCCTGACAGATATGAAGGGGGAAAGAGTCCTGTCCCCTTACATGCCTATTTCATTGCCGTCTGTCTTCCCTTCATAGGGAAGCTTCCGGGCCTATAAGAGAAACTCCCAGGCGCCGGGCTCCATCGCTGATTCGCAGAAGGGCTGCTCTCATCAGCCACACTTTAAGTAAGAATAATTTGTCACTATATACAGAAGTTATGCCATCTGAGGCGTATGCGACTTGCCCAAGGTCACAGAACTAGTAGGAGTCTGGGTGGGAGCAGCACTCAAATCTATTTGGTCCTTAACCCCGCTATACTAGCCACTGCACAGCACCATCTCCTGCCAAGGCCCTTTTCCTTATCATCATGTTGGAGGATGAGACAGAACCCATTTAACCCAGGCCACGTTGAGAAAGGAAAACCTTCATTTCTGGCACCTCTCCTCTCTGGCTCCCTACTCATTCTGTATATTCCAGTAAAGAGCATCCAGATTAAAGGAGGAATCAATAGCCTGGTGTGGTGGCATGTGTCTGTAGTTCCAGCTACTTGGAAGGCTGAGGTGGAAGGGTCTCCTGAGTCCAGCAGGTCCAGGCTGTGGTGGCGGTGAGTGTGCCACTGCACTCCAGCCTGGGCGACAAGAGTGAGACTCCAACTCAAAAAAAGAGGAGGAATCAGGAGCTGTGAACCTCGATGATGCTAAGACTGTGCTCCTGAAAACCTTTATAAAGTAGGTATCTGAAGAATTTTCTATGGAAAATTAGGAAATCCTGAGATCAAGAACTTCCTCTTTAAGAATAATATGGCCAGCCTATGCAATATAGTGAGAACTTCTCTCTACAAAAAAAGTGTTTTAAAACATTAGCTGAGCTGGTGGTGACCAGCCCAGGTACTCGGGAGGCTGAGGTGGAAGGATCACCTGAGCCCAGGAGGTGCAGACTGCAGCTCATGTAATCATGTCACTGCATTCCAGCTGGGGCCACAGAGTGAGACCCTGACTCAGAATAATAAAAACAATAGTAATAGCCTATAATCTGGCGCCTTTGGGAGGCTGAAGTGAATGGATTGCCTGAGCCCGCGGGTTCGAGACCCGCCTGAGCAGCGAGACCTCATCTCTACAATAAATCAAAAAAATCAGCCGGGCGTGGTAGCGCATGCCTGTAATTCCGGCTACTTGGAAGGCTGAGGCGGAAGGATCGCCGGAGCCCAGCAGGTCGAGGCTGTGGTGGCCGGAAGTGGCCACTGCACTCCAGTCTGGGCGACAGAGTGAGACTCCAACTCAAAAAAAAAAAAAATAGTAATAATAATAATGTGGATTAACCATATTCATATATGAGTATCCCTTGTTCATGATTTGAAACATGGTGAAGAAGACACATAGATTATGAGCTAGAGAGAGGTATCAACAATGTGGGGGATGCCACCCACATCATTCACACACAGACGCACATGCCCATGCACACAGATTCTACTCCCTGATTTTGCATTATCCTAGCCCACTTTCTAAGGGACAGGAAAGCAGCTGTGGGGACCAAGAAAAGGGAAGCCCTTGAACTCTGTCACAGAAAATCCCAAATAGAGTGTTTAATCGTTTAACATTTATCTCATGAATCAGAGTTTTATTTGGATTAATATGCACATTAATACCCCTGAGAGAATTAAGCAAATCAGTCATTGCCCATTAATGTGAATGACTTTCATCAGTACATTGAGTAGCCCAGAAGAGACTCTCAATTAATAATTTTTGAGTTTATGGAGAGGGACTAGGAGATGGGAGGTATATAGCCATTTCCATAATGTTTCAGAGACAGCCTTTGACACACTGGCCCTGTATCTGAGTCCTGGCCCTGTAATGCAAACTCTCCCTGGATGTAAGAGAGTGTGTGAGACCCTCAGTGTTCACAAGTCCCACCCCCGGGGAAGTCTAGAGACTTTTCTCACAGCATGCTGTGGGAAACCTCCCAGTTTTTTTCTCCTAAGAAAAGAAATCTGAGGAGCAGGGAGATGGAGCAGGAAGAAAGGAAACAAACATCTGAGAAAATAAGTAAATATGGTAATAAAAGTTAAAAAAAAAAAAACAGTGAAAAAGTTATGAGGAAAGTAACAGGGGCAAAGTCCAGCTTAGAAGAAACAAGGGATGGCATGAAGAATTTTAGAGGGAATAAACAGGCCAAGCTTAAAAGATTGAATTAGTGAACTAGCTGCCTAAAAAAACTCACAGAAGGAAAAGAAAAGATATCAAGATACAAAAAGGTTTCACATAGAAAAAAAATGCTTTGTATTTTCACCCAACAAAAACTTAGATGTTTGGGAAAAGCTTTGTTTTTTGAAGTCCCATAAATATTCCCATCTCAAAAAAATTTTTTTTATTTAAAAGAATTACTTATGCTAATGAATAATATGTTTATTTGAAGCAGAGCATAAATCTAATTATAGGAAGTTGTGAAAACTTGTATTATTTGTCTTATAATTGAAGACCCTTTATTCAACACCTTGACCTCCATCCAGTAGCTTAGGCTTTCAAATTCCTTTTTTTCCAGTGACTTCTCATCTCTCTCACCTGAGCCACTCACTCCTATCCTTAATGGTTCATTTGACCTCGTCCTCACTGATGACCAACTGCATATCCTCCAAAATCTGTGTTTCACCCATCACACCCTGAGTATCTTTCTGCTTAGCTTCTCTAGAACTCACACCCTAGCCATTTTCAGTCTTTTCAAGAACCCCAACTCTTTTATCCCTTGTCTGTCTCATGTGTTTACTTCCTTCTTTATCTAGTGTTGATTCCTGACCCATCATTCCAATCTCCTTCTTGCAAACACCCCTTCGTTTCCTTGTTTCCCTCACGCTATATCCTACAGTACTTGTCTGGTGAAGCCGAGGCTCAGTTGATCCCAAGCAGACTGGATTGGAGAAGTACACACAACGCTGCCAACTGGCTTCTCTTTCAATTGGAGAGCACAGACTTAAGAGCTTGTTTGGAGGTTCCAGCAGGGGAGCGTTGCATTTGTATACCCTTTTTATTTTTATTTTGTTTTTTTTTTAGAGTTGTGGGGTACAAGTGAGGGTTTGGAACATGGGTAGGCTGCATGAAGGTGAAGCTTGGACTTCTAGCTGGCCCTCTCTCTCCCCTAGTAGTGGACCAGGTACCCATTGTGTTGCCACATGCGCCCCTGAAGAATGGTCCTCCTCTAGCAGGGATGGTCATCTTCTGAAGGAAGGTGGTGAGGGAGGAAGGTGTTACCCGCCTAGCCAACCAGATCAGCCAAATCAAGCCTGGTGATCAGTGGGGTGACAAATGTCACAGCCAGATCACCCTCACATGCAAGAGAGCAAAGATATAAAATAGACACACACCCACTGCTGTCCAGCATTTGGAAAGGACTATTCCACAGAACCTCTCTCTCTCTCTTTTTTTTTTTTTTGAGTTGGAGTCTCACTGTCGCCCAGACTGAGTGCAGTGGCCACTCCCAGCCACTGCAACCTCGACCTGCTGAGCTCCGGCGATCCTTCCGCCTCAGCCTACCAAGTAGCCGGAATTACAGGCACGTGCTACCATGCCTGGCTGATTTTTTGATTTATTGTAGAGATGAGGTCTCGCCAAGTTGCCCAGGTGGGTCACAAACTGGCGGGCTCAGGCAATCCACTCACCTCAGCCTCCCAAAGCGCGGAATTACAGGCCGAGCCACCGAACCTGGCTGAGCCTCTCTCTTAATCCTCCCTGTTTCCACTCTAGTTTCATCCCTTCAGTCTCAGTTGTTGATGTGGCCTCAGACTTCGTTAAGAAAGTAGAAGCAGGGGAACAGAAACTCGCTCATTTCCCACCAGCCTGTGTCCCACACTCTCTGTCTTCCCTCCTTTTTCATCATGTCCCTGCTTCTATCAAGGCTCCACTGCCCCTTGTGCCCTAGATTCCTATTCACATCCAACACTAGCCTCACACCCAAGCCTGCTCCCTCCCAAATCTCCTGCATGCATCTCTGTAATCATGCCATTCTCAAGCCACTTGGGATCCAAACCCAGGAGCCTTTTTAGGTTTTCTCCTTTCACTCCTATATCTACACCATCTGCAAATCCCATAGGGGCTACCTTAAAGAAACAACACACACACACACACACACACACACACACACACATAGAGACATAAGGTGACATATATATATAAATCTCCAGACTCTGACA